GAATCTTTGTGATCAGGTATTTGTGTGGACATTTATGTTGAAAAAACCATTTTTCTTGAATTCTCTTGGTACTTTTGGCAGTTGTCAATCAATTGATATAAATAGGGGCATTCTTTTTTTTTGAGACAGGGTCTTGCTATGTGGTTCAGGCTGGGCTTAGGTTCACTTTGTAGCCCAGGCTGGTCTCTAACTTGCCATGAACCGCCTGCCTCAGCCTCCCAAGTGCTGGGATTACAGGAGTGCGCCACTATGCTCGGCTGGGGCATTCATTTTTTAATTTGCAATTGTGTTCAGTTGATTTGTACATCTAGGGTTATCCTGTATTAGTCTTGATCACTATAACTTTTCAGTTGAGTTTTGGAATCCTTGGAGAGCTTTATTCATAATATTCAAGATTATTTTGGCTTTTGGCTTTCTTTCTCCCTGTCCTGTCCTGTCCTTTCCTGTCCTTTCTTTCCCAGGGATCAAACTCACCCGTTTGCACGGTAGGCGCTTAATGCCACTGAGCTAAATCCCTGGCCCTTCCCTTTGTATTTTCAATATGAAATTTAGGATCAGCTTGTCAGTGTGTGACACATCAGAGGTGAGGATTTTGGTTGGGATTGAATTGAATCTTTAGGAGAGGGATAATTGCAGTTTTCTCAGTATTACGTGTTCTTCTCCATAAGCATGGGATATTTATTCACTTACTTAGGTTGTCTTTATTTTAGTCATCTACAGTTTTTTTGTATACAATCTTATACTTTGGTTAAATTTATTCCTAAGTGTATTATTCTTGTTGATGATGTTATACATGGAATTGTTTACTCATTTCCTTTTGACATTGACTGTTAAGGGTGGGTGGTATCTTGATACATTGTTTCAGCTAGTCTTGAAGTTAGGAGCCTCCAACAGTCATCCCCCAACCCCAATTTGGAATTACCATTGTGTATCACCTGCCTAGCTTTAAAAACTATTGGTCTTGGATTTTGCAATCTTAGCAGATTCATTTGTTCTCATAATGTTTTAATAGATTCTTAAGTAATTTACATACGAGAGTGTATCTTCTGTGACTAGATACCATTTTGCTTGTTTTCAATCTGAGTGCCTTTTATTTTTCTTATGCATTCCTGGCGTAAGTTCTAGTACAGCTAAATAGAAATGGGAAAACTGACTTTCTTGTCTTGTTTTTAATCTTAGGAGGTAATATTTATTGGGCAATTTGAGTACTCTTGGGCTCTCTAAAAGTGTGTCCAGTCTCTTTTCCTCTTCTCTCCCTCTCCTTTCCTACCTACCTTCCTCCCCCAGGATTGGGGAATGAACTCACTGTATTCTACCACTAAGCTATATCTCCAGCCCTTTAAAAAAATTTTTAGACAAGTTCTTGTTCAATTGCTCATTGTAGATTACTATATTTGTACTACATTCTTTTTTTTTTTTGTCTTTTTCCTTTTATTGGTACCAGGGATCGAACTCACAACTGCCTGCTTGCAAGGCAGGCGCTTATGCTGCTGAGCTAAATCTCCAGCCCCAATATCCGTACTACATTCTTTATTGTCAAGTAATTTATTATATAGATCTTGCTATATTAATTCATCAGTTGATGGATCACACCTCACAGCATCACAGTTTTGCTGAGCTTCTTGGATCTGTGGATTAAAAATTTTTCTTTGGAAGATTTTTCTTTAATTTGCTCTTCAACAATTTCTCTTAAACTGCTTGCTCTCCTGCCTCAGCTTCCCAAGCAGCTGGATTGCAGGAAGGCAGCACCACATCTGGTAGATCTTCAATTTTAAAAAGTTGTTTTTGTAAGGTATAGACTACTTTAGATTGATTCTTTTTCCCTTTAAATATTTTATAGGTAAACTTCATTGTCATTCAATTAAACATAGTTTCATTTGTTTGTTTTGGTGTAATACTAATGATTGAACCCAGGGTATTTGGACTGAACTACATCCCCAGCCCTGTTTTTATTTTGAGACAGAATCTGCTCAAATTTCCCATCTACATTTCCTGTTTTAGACTTAGAGTGCTGGGATTACAGACATGTACTACCTTGCCTGGTTTAACACAGTGTAGAGTCAGTATAAGGAGTGGATTCTCATTGTTCTTTCAATATAGCATTGTTGTTTTGCTCTGCAGCTTTTCAGCTTTTTGTTTTTGATCTTTAATTTTCAGCATCCTGACCTTGATGTGCTTAGGTATGACTAGATTATTGTTGTTGTTGTTCTTTGTTGGTTTTTTTTGGAGGGGGGAGGAGGAGGCTGGTCTTGAATTTATTGTGTAGCCCACAGTTGTCTCAAATTTATGGTGATCCTCCTGCTTCAGCCTCATGGGTGCTGGGATTACAGGAATGTGCCGCCATTCCTGGTCTAGTTTTGTTTTTTGAGATAGGGTCTTGCTGTGCAGCCCAGGCTGGCCTTGAACTCAGAATCCTCCTATATCAACTTGCTTAGTGCTGAGATTACAAATCTGTGCCACAATGACTGCTAAAGTTTGTCCCTGTTGTTGTTTGCTGAGCTTCTTGGATCTGTGGGTTAAAATTTTTCTTTTGTAAGATTTCTCTTTAATTTGCTATTCAATCATTTCTCTACTTTCTATCATTTGGGAAATACAGCTTCTAGTCTGTTAGATAATTTGTTGTGCTACAAATCTCTGTCTCTTGTTTACTCCCTTTTTCTATTTTGCAGTCTAGGTGACTTATTGCTTCAGCAAATTTCAGTTCATGCTGTGTTAGGGGTGTGAAGGGTTCTTCTGTCAAACTTTGGGGCCTGAACACTAGTGGAATACACATTCTGTGTTTTCGGGCCAACCATTCTGCATCACAGCTGCTTTTTCTACTGAAGTCTTAGGGAGCATAATTGGATGATAGGAGGAACTAGTTTTCTTTTTGAGCTCTCTTTGGGATGCTCTTATTCAGTTATTGTAAATTTGGCTGGCCCTGGCTAAGCTTTATAGTACATGTCAAGTTCCAGCACTCTGGAGGCTTAGACAGGAGGCTTGCAAGTTCAAGCCCAGCCTGGATAATTATTTCCCAGAAATAAAATGGGCTGGGCCTTTAACTCAGAGTTCCCAAGGTTTAATTTGGGGTGAGGTGGGGGACGCGGTGGATTTGGGCTGGTTTCTAGGTATTCCAAAGAAGAACCTTTATCTATAGCTACCTTTTCCTTACTTCACTGTATTTTTGGGCATTGTAAAAAGTTAAAAGAAGTAGCAGTAGTCAACTAGAGAAGGCTGATCCCACTCCAAAATTCAGTTCACTTACATTTATTTGCACCCAGAGTTTCTCACTGCCTTTTAAGAAAGATACTTAGTGCTTTCTCATTGTTGTAGCAGAAATGAAGTTTTTCTGTGATCTTTCACATTGTAACTCGAAGTGGAAGGTCCTCCATTGAAGGATATTTCAGTAAGGTCAAGAAACAAGGGTAAACTGAGTAAGTACTAAATAGGCACTTTTATATCCATTACTTTCATTAATGTTTTCTTCCTGAAATAAACAATTGTATTAATTTTTCTTCTCTAATTAAGGTAAACAGTGATCCAACCACATGAATCTTTACTGTTCAAGAACATGTACAAATTCATGTGGTGGTTGCTTGTTTGTATTTGAGGTAAAGTTTTATATACAAACATTAACTTTGAGTTAGTAAACAGTTAAAAAATTACTACATTAATAATGATCAATTGATGTTAGAAATTATTAAATTGGGTTAAAAGAAAAGTAAGATTTGTGTGGTTGGATCATTATTTACCTTAATAGGGAAGTAGCATTAATATAGTTATTTTAGGAAGAAAACATTATTAGTGAAGGTAATAGGTATAAAAGTGCCTAGATTATTTAGTACCTAGTCAGTTTACCCTTTTTTGTGTGCTGGTGCCTTAAGTCTTCACTGCCCTGATGGTTTTTTGACATCTTCGGTTGGAATTTTAAAAACACTTTTGGTGGCACATACTTGTAATCCCAGTATTCCTGGAGGCTCAAGAAAGAGAATCAGAAGTTCAAGTCCTGCTTGAGGGACTTAGCTGCTATCCTGTCTGAAAATAAGGGAAAGGGGATATAGCTTAGTCGTAGAGCACCTCAGGTTGTTTTGTTGTATGGTTTTTTGAGACAAGGTGTGGCTGTGGAGTCCAGGCTGGCCTTGAACTCACTGTGTACCAATATGCTGGCCTAGAAGCTGCAGCAATTTCCCTGCTCCAGCCTCCTAAGCACTGGGATTGGATTACAGGGTTGTACCAATATGCTCAGTAGCACCTTGGGTTTGATTTCCAGTATTATGAACAAAACACAATAAAACAAAAGCAATAGCAAAAAACTTTAAAACACTTTTCTACTTTGTACCTTAAGGTTGCTTTGTTATGAACTATTGTACACTATAAGAAGTTGAGAAGAAGGGAAAAGCTGGTTGCTACAGTGTTTTTTAAACAGTTATATACTGTGGGTCACATGCACTTTCAGTCATGTTTCTTTTTATTTTAGAGAAATTAGTGGCAAGTTCTTTACACTGAAAGTGAGTTTTTCCACCTTAAAGTTGAAAAATCATCTGGCAACAACATTATGAATATACTAAAAAATATACACTTTAATATGTTTAAGATGTTATTATGTTTTGTGAATTTTATCTCAAACACAAAACCAAAATTAGGCGACAGTTTGTATTTCCTATCTTCATTGTGATTCCTAGTTGTAATGGAACATGTTTTTGCATTATCAGTTGGTGTGTGGATTTTAAAAATCAGTTCGTTTTTAAAATACTTAAAGGAAAATGAGCATTATGTAGCATGCATTTTGATTTAATGATAAGAAATTTTACTTTGTTTTTTAAATTGAAAAACTGAAAAGGATAAAATGTTGATAAACACTGCTTCTGAGAACCTCTTTAAACTATAAGTGAGTGTTTTGAGGAATGGTTTAAAATCTGACATATTGCCAGTTTCAAAAACACTTTTTTTTCCTTCTTTGAGTCTTGTTTACATGGATAGTCTTTATTTTTTATTTTTCTTAATCTCTCCTGTCTCTCCAGTCTTGTTGCCAACAATTTTGAAGTCAGCTCCCATATTGAATCATTAGACTCAAGTGAAAACTTCAATGTTGTTGTTAAAGAAGAACCTCTAGATGATTATGATTATGAACTTGGCGAGTATTCAGAAGGGATCACCGTGAAACAGGAAGAGACAGATGAAGAAACGGATGTATACTCAAACAGCGATGATGATCCTATATTAGAGAAACAACTAAAGAGGCACAATAAAATGGATAACCCAGAGGGTGATCATCCGTCTTTTAAATGGCTACCAAGCAGCCCGTCAGGTGTTGCTAAAGCTAAGATGTTCAAATTAGATGCTGGAAAGATGCCAGTAGTCTATTTGGAGCCCTGTGCTGTCACCAAAAGCACAGTGAAGATTTCTGAATTGCCTGATAACATGCTTTCCATGTCTCGAAAGGATAAATCTTCTATGTTGGCGGAATTAGAGTATTTGCCTACAGACATTGAAAATGCTAGTGCAACTGGCTTCTGCTTAGGCAAGGAATCAGAAAGTGGTCTTAGTAAACATTCACCAGATCTTACAGTGGCACAAAAATATCCTTCACTTGAAGAGCCTCAGTGGAAATATCCTGATATATTCGACAGCATTGGCTCAGAAAGAATCCTTGACAGTTCAAAGAGTTCTGCTGGGGACTCATTTTCAGGAAAAGAGGATTTGGGCAGAAAGCGAACAACCGTGCTTAAGGTTGCAGCAGCCTCAAAGACTGAGGGTGCTAACCACAATGCCTCTCCAAATGTTCATGGAAAAAGAGGAAGGCCTCGAAAATTGAAATTTTCTAAGGCAGGACGACCACCTAAAAACACAGGAAAATCTTTAACTTCTACTAAGAACACCCCTGTAGGCCTTGGAAGTACCTTTTCTGATGTGAAGCCTGATTTGGAAGATGTGGATGGTGTTCTCTTTGTTTCCTTTGAATCAAAGGTAAGATTGTAATTTTTAGCATTCTTTTTAAGGCTAATTAGTTATTCTTAAATTGTATATAAGCCGATTATTAACTGGGATCTAGTTTTGTGAATGTGTTAATTGATGAAGGTGTGTTTGGCAAGAGTGTTTCCAAGGGGATTGAGAAATGTCTTTATAATGTTGGGGGGATTGCTAGAGATGTCTTCGTAATGTTTGATAGGTATCACTTCAGGCACTTTGAATAGATTTTTAAATAATATATCTTTTTAGATCCCATTTTGTGATTTTTCACAGTGTGTGAAGCTTATTTTGTTTTTAAACTTTAGATTTTTCTGGAATTTTCATTATTATAGACTTTCAGAAAGCATAGAAATACATGAAAAGTTTGTTGATTGTTGGAATATCCTATCCTCCCCATCCCTTGGTCAGTAGTAGTAGAAGCACTATTGAAAAACTAAATAGTAGTCTTACTAACTCTGGTGTCTTACACATTGATAATTTGTTTATTGTATTCTCCAAATAGCTATTTTTAGACTTTTATAGCAGCCTAGTCTTTCTAAATTGTTTAAACAGATGTTTAATTTTTCTACCAGTTTCTTCCTTCCTTTTTTTTTAGCTGCCAAATAAGCTGTCTTTATAGACTCTTGAGAAAGCAGCATGCAAATTGTTATAAATAGTTTGAGGTTGGCTGAATATGACATTGAGATTTTTTCTTTTCTAATCCCCTTCTTTGCTAGAGATCAAACTCAGTACATCAAACATACTAGGCAAGCATTCTTATCACTGAACTATATCCACATCCCCTGAATAATAAGTAATGTTAATATAGGACATTTAGAAAATATTTTTTAGAAAAAGTAAAATAATTATTCAGTGTAAACATTATGGTTTATTTTTCTTGGGCTTTTAAAAAAAATCCTGGTTTACTTAAAAAGTTTAGAATTATAATTATCTGTGTTATATTTTTATTTTTAATATATAGGAAGCTCTAGACATTCATGCAGTTGATGGAACAACGGAAGAACCCTCTAGTCTTCAGACATCAACCACAAATGACCTAGGTATTGCATGATAGTATAAAATGAGATATATTTCTGATTTAGACTGTAGTAGTGGATTATACCACATCAGCTTTGTGTATTGCACCGCATTTTGTTTTGTCATTATTTTGTGAATAGGTTGCAGAGCAAGAATTTCTCAGTTGGAAAAGGAACTGATAGAGGATTTGAAGTCCTTACGGCACAAGCAGGTGATACATCCTGGTCTTCAAGAAGGTAATACTCTTTAAAACATATCAATTTTTCTTTTATTCTTTTTCTTTTCTCCTTCCTCTTTTCCCTCTTCCTCAGTTCTTTTTATTTTCTGTTTTTCTCCTTCTTTCCATCCTTGGATTTCTTTTAGCACCTCTCAATTTGCATTTTTCTTTTTACCTCCACAGATCTTCCCTTTAAAATAAAAACATATCTGGGTCCTTTATCCTAATAGCTTATGTATAGGAAAAAAATATATGAGGTAAGAAAGTGATAATTTCTATGTTCATTTGTATAGCATGGTATCATTCATACAGAATGGTATCCCTTTCCTCACTCATCATTTTATTTTACCTTTGGTTGCTTTTGTTTACATGTTTTTCTTTTGGAGGAGTGGGTCCTATTTGTCCTTTTGTACCTAGTAATATATTTGGGTGTTGTATAAACAAACAAACAAACAAAAAAAACCAGCCTCAGGGCACATGCCTTAGCTGCAACGCTTGAGACTGGGGCAAGAGAGTCAGCATTTCAGGCCAGTCTGACCTACATAATGAGACCCTGTCTCAAAGAAAAATATAAAACAACACAAAACAAGCTACACCTTTTCTCTTGTGTAGAAACGAAATACTTTATATATTTGATACACTGCTGGAAATTTTATGATTTTATTATTTATTTATTTTTTATTATTTTAAAGAGTAAAACCAAACAAAATAAAACAGAATAAAACCAATCAAAACAAAACAGGGAAAGTGGTACATGAATCAAAACAAGATAATGCGAAATCAGCAATGGCTATTATTCCTCTTGTTATCTTCAAAATAGCAGTCCAGAGGCTGGGGATTTAGCTTAGCAGCATAAGTGTCTGCCTTGTAAGTTCAAGGTCATGAGTGCAGATCCCCAAATAATAGCCCATACCATCAGACATAATAAAATCAAACAAAACAAAACAATGAAAGCAATACGGGATTTTAAGACAAGATAATAGGGAATTAATAATGGCTACCATTTTCAGAAGGAAATCCCCCTTAGTTACTATGTTGTGTATTGTTATCTTTTAAATACTCAGACTACTGTGTTTAGGCCTGCAAAGTCAGTCAGACTGTGCAGGCGTTAAATTGTTTCTTTATTTCAGAAGCTATCATTTCAGCCTGTGTTTCTCCTAATCAGTCAGTTGCTTACAGGGAGGGGTGTGTGTGTGTGTTGGTACTTCTTATCTTCTAGCCTGTGTGCCAGCTGGCTCACAGGAAGGAGTTTGTTTCTTCTTGGTTCCTTTCCAGCTCACATGGCTGCCTCTGGCTCACAGGAAGGAGTTGTCCTGGCCAGTGACTGTCACTGGCTCACAGGAAGGGATTGGCTTCTTCTTGGTTCTCTTCCCAGCCCACATGGCTGCTGCTGGCTCCTAAGATTTTAATTAGTTCTTTTTTTGTAATAGATTATTACTTGGACCTCTTCCTTTAAAAAAAAGATAATGAAATCTGTAGTTAGATTTCTTTCTGTTCGCAGGTTGTAGACCATGCCCCAATTTTTAGTGTATTGCATCTTTGATTTTAGGTTTGCTTCTTGGGGAATTATTAGGTTTTGACTCACTTTTTAGAGGCTCAACTAAGTGATCTACTATAAGATCTTCTAAACATTAGAAGCTCTGAAACAAAAGGTTGATTTATATTTATGTATAAATATATTAAATTTATATATTATCATTTAATTACTAACTCATATGGTAATATTGAAGAATACAGGCCATAATAGTTGGTGGTTTGTGTGACACTGTGATCTTTGAATATGCAAATCCTATTCTTAATCCAAGTAATAAGGTCAGGATACTATAAATTATAGTGGATGGTTACTTCACAGTAGTCCTGCTAATCACAGTGTTTATTATTATTTATCATTGGCTTTCATATGTGCTATTTGATTTATATGGTCTCTGACTTTTATTAACTAACCTGCCTTACTATTCCCACCCATTTATTTTTTTGTTACATACTGTACTTAAAATTTTTTATGAAAATAATGTAATTTAATTTTAAATTAATTTTATTTGTATACTTTAATAAGGCCATATTCATTGTAGGGAATTTGTACAGGTACATGATTTATCTTGATTCTTTTTTCCCCATTTTCCTCCCCTCTCTTTAGCCCTTCTTCCCTGCCTTTACAAAAGCTTTGTTTCCATTTTTTTCTTTATATTCTCTTTTTTGTGCCTTTTCCCTTATCCCTCTCCTCTCCCATAGTCCCCTTCACATTTGAAAATTTTCTTTTTGCTACCCAATACCTATCATTCATTTTGGTACTAATTTCAGTTTTTCATCGAAGAGAAGCAATGAGATATTTAAACATACATGTTGGTTTATTTCACTTAAAAGCATAGTGTCAAGGTGCATTCATTTACCTAAAAAAGTCTGAAGTTTATCCTGTAATTCTCCTTTTTGAATCCTTCTCTGGTAATGGTTTCTTCCCTTTCAATTTCCTTAGAGTTTGAGGAGTAATGGGATTAGATCTTCTCTAAATTTCTTGTGGAATTCAACAGTGAATCCATCAGGAACTGGGCTTATCTTTCTGGTAGTTTTAAAATTACTTCAGTTTCAATTAGTGATACTAGATTATTAGGAATTTTGATGTCTTCTTGATTCAGCTTTGGTAATTTATATGTATCAAGGGATCTGCTCATTTCTTCTGCATTTTCCATTTTAGAGTACAGGTTCTTCTCCCCCCCCGGTACCGGGGATCGAACTCACGACTGCCTGCTTGCAAGGCAGGCGTTTATGCCGCTAAGCTAAATCCCCAGCCCCAGAGTACAGGTTCTTAAAGGCATTGATGATCTTGTGGATTTCACCCTTTTTATTCCTAATTGCATGGATTTGAATCTTTCCTTTCTCTCTTTTTTAAAAGTGACTAATGGTTTGTCTATTTTATGTAATCTTTCAAAGAAGTAACTTTAATTCATTGATTGTTTGTATTGTTCTTTTAGTCTCAGTTGCATTAATTTTTGCTATGATCTTTATAATTTTCCTCTCTTAATGTGTGCTTTAGGTTTAACTTGTTCTTGTTTTAGAAGCTTGAGGTTCAACCCTTGGTTAAGTATTTGAGCTTGCTGTGTTTTTCTGATACAGAAATTCACCACTATAAATTTCCCTTATAGGGCTGCTTTCATTGTCTCTCATAAGTTCCAGTATGTTGTATTGGCATATTAATTGTAGGAACTTATCTAATATTTCTTTAATTTTATCTCTGACCTATTGGTTGTTCCGGAAGATGCTATTTCTGTGTGTTTATGGAGTTTTTGTGGTTTCTTTTGCTATTATTTCCAGTTTTATTGCACTATGATCTGGTAATATGCATCGGATAATTTCAGTTCCTTTGCATTTACTCAAGCATGTTCTATGGGCTAGTATGTGGTCTATTTTGAAGAATGTCCTGTGCGTAACTGAGAAGAACATTCTGTTGTGGGTTGGAACACTTGGTAGGTATCTATCTACTAAGTCCATTTGTTCAGAGGTTTGGTTCAGCTCTGATTCTTTGTTGATTATTTGTCTAGTTAATCTGTTTGTGACAGTGGGGTATTGAGGTCCCCCCATTACAATTATATTAGTGCTTATTTGATTTTTCAAGTCTATTAATGTTTGCTTTAGGTATTTGGGTGCATTAGTATTTGGTGAATATATAATTCTTGTTTCTTACTGTTGGATCCTTTTACAAGTATGTAATGACCCTTTTTTGTTCTGATCAGTCTTAGCTTGAAATCTACTTTTTCTACAAATAGAATAGCTTCCCTTGCTTTTTTCCAGGTTCTTGTTTCATGCAGTATTGTTCCCATCCTTTGACTACAATTTTTTTTTTTTAGTTAAATGTGTTTCTTGTATGTGGAATATTGCTGAGGTAACTTGCCTGTTCTCTTGCTTCCTTCTTCTGTTTTGTCTCGCTTGCTGCTCGCTCGCTCTTTTTTAGTAGGATCTCACTGTGCAGTTTAGATTGGTCTTGAACTTACTTATGCAACCGAAACTGACCTCAAACTCACAGCAGTCCTATCTTAGCCTCGGGAGTGCTGGATTTACAGGGGTAACCACCACACCCAGCTCTTGGGTCTTGTTTCTTGATTAATTCTACCAATGTTTCTTTTCTTTGATGAATTGAGACCATTTACATTGGCAATTGTAACTGATACGTATTGACTTACCCTTGTAATATTATTTTCCTGTTACTAATTCCCATTCTTTCCCCTGTTTAATTGCTTTCCTTGTCTAGTAGAGTCATTCTGTTGGGATTCATGGAATTGTTGTCTTTTTTTCTGTATCTTTCAGAACTTTTTGGAGTGCTAGTTTGATGGTCATGAATTTCTTGAGGCGTTCCTTATCAAGAAAATACCTTATTTCTTCATGGCTTTGAAGGATAATTTTATGGGTTACATTAATTTGGGTTGGAGGTTGTTTGCTTTTAAGGCTTGCAATACTTCAAGCTGTCCCTGACTTAAGAGTTTAGGTTAAGAAATCTGCTGTGATTCTGATGGGCCTTCCTTTATAGGTTATTATTTTTTTCTCTTAGCAGCTTTTAATACATTTTAATACTGTTATTGTGTTGAATTTCTGACATCTTTACTATTATGCATTGGTGTAGTCTCTCCCTTCCTCTAATCATGGCTATTTGGAGTTTGAATGCCTCACTTAAATGTGTATCAAATTCTTTTTCTATTCTTGGGAAGTTTTCTGTCATTACTTCTGTGAACAGGGTTTTTTATGGCCTTTGTGCTATCTTTTGATTTTCATTGATACCTATCAATTTTATGTTACTCTTTACATCATCTAACAGCTGTTGGATTGATTTTTCATGGTCCCTTGCTATTTTTAAGAAGTCTTTCATTTGGTAATTACTGACTGCAAACCTTTCTTCTAGATCTGATACTCTGTCCTCACATTGGTTGATCCTGCTGCACATACTTTCAACAAAAGTTTCAAATCTCTAGATATCTGTTTGACTGTGTTCTTTTCTATGTTGGACATTCATGGTTTGTATCACTTCTTTAA